TGGATTTTTTAAAAATATTTTTTCAAGGCGTGGATTTTTTAAAAAAATATTTTTTCAATGCGTGGATTTTATAAAAAAATATTTTTCAAGGCGTGGATTTTTTTTTAAATATTTTTTCAAGGCGTGGATTTTTTAAAAAATATTTTTTCAAGGCGTGGATTTTATAAAAAAATATTTTTTTAAGGCTTGGATTTTTTAAAAAAATATTTTTTTAAGGCTTGGATTTTTTAAAAAAATATTTTTTCAAGGCGTGGATTTTTTAAAAATGATTTTTTCAAGGTGTGTATTTTTTAAAAAATATTTTTTCAGGGCGTGGATTTTTTTAAAAAGGATTTTTTCAAGGCGTGTATTTTTTAAAAAATATTTTTTGAAGGCGTGGATTTTTTTAAAAAGGATTTTTTCAAGGCGTGTATTTTTTAAAAAATATTTTTTCAGGGCGTGAATTTTTTTTAAAAAGGATTTTTTTAAGGCGAGTATTTTTTAAAAAATATTTTTTCAGGGCGTGGATTTTTTTAAAAAATATTTTTTCAAGGCGTGTATTTTTTAAAAAAGTTTTTTAAGGCGTGATTTTTTTAAAAAATATTTTTTCAAGGCGTGGATTTTTTTTAAAATATTTTTTCAAGGCGTGGATTTTTTTAAAAATATTTTTTCAAGGCGTGAATTTTTTTAAAAATATTTTTTCAGGCCGTTGATTTTTTAAAAAATATTATTTCAAGGCGTGGATTTTTAAAAAAAAAAATTTCAATGCGTAGATTTTTTTAAAAATATTTTTTCAATGCGTGGTTTTTTTTAAAAATATTTTTTCAAGGCGTGAATTTTTTTAAAAATAATTTTTCAGGCCGTGGATTTTTTAAAAAATATTATTTCAAGGCGTGAATTTTTTTAAAAATATTTTTTCAGGCCGTGGATTTTTTAAAAAATATTATATCAAGGCGTGGATTTTTTAAAAAAAAAATTTTCAATGCGTAGATTTTTTTAAAAATATTTTTTCAAGGCGTGGATTTTTTTTAAATATTTTTTCAAGGTGTGGATTTTTTTAAAAATATTTTTTCAAGGCATGGATTTTTTAAAAATATTTTTTCAAGGCGTGATATATTTTAAAAAGTCGTTAATTTTTTTAAAAAAAGATTTTTTCAAGACGTGGATTTTTTTAAAAATATTTTTTCAAGGCGTGGATTTTTTAAAAATATTTTTTCAAGGCGTGGATTTTTTAAAGAAGATTTTTTCAAGGCGTGGATTTTTTTAAAGAAGATTTTTTCAAGGCGTGGATTTTTTTAAAAATATTTTTTTAAATATAAAAATATTTTTTAAAAAAGATTTTTTCAAGGCGTGGATTTTTTAAAAAATATTTTTTCAAGGCATGGATTTTTTAAAAAATATTTTTTCAGGGCGTGGATTTTTAAAAAAAAAATTTTCACAGGGCGTGGATTTTTAAAAAAAAAATTTTCAGGGCGTGGATTTTTTTTAAATATTTTTTCAAGGCGTGGATTTTTTAAAAAATGTTTTTTCAAGGTGTGGATTTTAATTTTTTTTTTTCAGGGCGTGGATTTAAAACAAAATTCAGGGCGTGGATTTAAAAAAAAAATCAGGGCGTGGATTTAAAAAAAAATCAGGTCGTGAATTTTTTGCAAAAAAATATTTTAAAAATCCACGCCCAGAAAAAAAGATTTCAAGCCGCCACGCAAGGCGTGGATTCTAAAAAATCCATCCATTTTATAAACATATATATGTTTGGGCATATTGTCTTTATGATGTGTATATGTGCAACTTGTTGCCTCATCCGCTAAGCGGTCATCGTTTTTATTTTTTTCTTTTAATAATCCGACAATTGAAATTGAAATTTGATGATACCGCCCACCACAAATCAATAAGCCGATGTTGTTCTTTCAATTTCCAATAACCTATGACAAGCTATAAGAAGCTTATAAATGTATAAGGGAGACAGCAGGTAAAAAAGAAAGTCAAAAAAAAAATATTCTTAGAACCTGTAAAGTATGACGGAAGACATTTGCAGGTGGTCATTCAAAGAAAAAAATAAAAAACAACAAAAACAAAGAAAATGTCCCCACACAATGTGGGAAAGTAACACCACATTGAAAATATTAAATTTTTATAAAAAATTAGTTTAATTTGGGCAATTTGACTATTTTGGATAATTTTTAATTTTACCCGGCAATTTTTTCAAAAATCCCCACTTTTGAGGATTTTGCTAATTTTTCGAAATTTCAAATTTAAATTGAAAATAAATGTAATTGGGATGTTTTTAAGTGATTTAGGCGCTCTAAAACGTTCCCCGGAATTTGTTTTCAAAAATCCCCACTTAGGGGAATTTTTGAAAATCATTATGGGAATTCCAAAAAAAATCCCCATTTCATGGGATTTTATAATTTTTTAAAAATCAAAGCCTCTCTTTACTAATCATATAATAGAAGTATTTTAGGTAATTTTGGCACATTTAAAATGTTCCCCGATAATTTTTCAAAAACCCCCATAAGGGAATTTTTGGAAACAATTTTGAGAATTCAAAAATTTTGACAAAAACTAAGCTTTTTCTTCACTAATAGCATAAAATTATAACATTTAATGTATTTTCGGGTATTTTAAAATGTCCCCTGTTAATTTTTCAAAAATCCCCACTGGGGGAATTTTTTGAAATAAATTTGGGGATCAAAAATTTGCCGAAAATTAAGTTTTTACTCCATTATAAACACAATATTATAATACTTAATGTATTTTTGGGTATTTAAAAATGTCCCCTGTTGATTTTTGAAAAATCCCTACTGAGGGAATTTTTTGAAAAAAAATTGGGAATACAAAATTTGCCGAAAAGGAAGATTTTACTCCTCCATTAATACAATATTATAGTATTTAATATATTTTCGGGTATTTTAAAAAGTCCCCCGTTAATTTTTCAAAAATCCCCACTGAGGGAATTTTTGGAAATAAATTTGGGGATCAAATGAAGTTTTTACTCCATTATAAACACAATATTATAATACTTAATGTATTTTTGGGTATTTAAAAATGTCCCCTGTTGATTTTTCAAAAATCCCCACTGAGGGAATTTTTGAAAATAAATTTTGAGAATTCAAAATTTTGACAAAAACTAAGCTTTTTCTCCACTAATAGTATAAAATTATAACATTTAATGTATTTTCGGGTGTTTTAAAATGTCCCCTGTTAATTTTTCAAAAAATCCCCACTAAGGGAATTTTTGGAAATAATTTTAGGGATTCAAAATTTGCCGAAAAGGAAGATTTTACTCCACCATTAATACAATTATTATAGTATTTAATATATTTTCGGGTATTTTAAAATGTCCCCTGTTAATTTTTCAAAAATCCCCACTGAGGGAATTTTTGGAAATAAATTTTGGGAATTCAAAATTTGCCGAAAATGAAGTTTTTACTCCACTATAAACATAATATTATAGAATTTAATATATTTTTGGGTATTTTAAAATGTCCCCTGTTTATTTTTCAAAAATCCCCACTGAGGGAATTTTTGGAGACAAATTTGGGGATTCAAAAATTAGCCGAAAATTAAGTTTTTACTCCATTTTAAATGCAATATTATAGTATTTGCTGTATTTTCGGGTATTTTAAAATGTTCCCCATTAATTTTTCAAAAATCCCCACTGAGGGATTTTTTTGGAAACAAATTTAGGGATTCAAAAATTTACCGAAAATTAAGTTTTTACTCCATTATAAACAATATTATGGTATTTAATGTATTTTCAGGGTATTTAAAATTTTCCAACTTTCTGGGATTTTTTTTTTATAATTTGACGATTTTGAATAAATTTTAATTTTCCCCGGATTTTTTTTTCAAAAATCTCCACTTTTGGGGATTTACAAATTTTTTTTATAATTAAAATTTCTAAATCGAAAATAAATGTAATTGCGATGTTTTTAAGTAATATAGACAATCTAAAAATTTTGCCAGGCATTTTTTTTAAAAATCCCCATTTTCAGCAAATAAATGTAATTGGGCGAGTTTTAAAACAATTTAAGTCATTTGAAACATTTCCCCGGCAATTTTTCAAAAATCCCCACATTCTGGGATTTTGTAAATTTTTTAAAAATCAATGTTTCTTTGTACTATTCATGTAATTGAAGGGTTTTAAGTAATTTTGACAAATTGAAAAATTTCCCCGGTAATTTTTCAAAAAATCCCCACAGAGGGAATTTTTGGAAACAATTTTGGGAATTTAAAATTTTGACAAAAACTAAGCTTTTACTCCACTATTAACATAAAATTATGGTAATTAATGTATTTTCGGGTATTTTAAACTTCCCCAGTTTCTGGGATTTTTTGAATAAACATTTTTTGAAACATTTCCATGCTAATTTTTCAAAAAATCCCACTTTTGGGATTTTAAAACTCTATGTTTCTCTTTACTTTTTATAAAATTTAAGCGTTTTAAGTAATTCTGACAAATTTAAAATTTTCCCCGGTAATTTTTCAAAAATCCCCACTGAGGGAATTTTTGGAAACAACTTTGGGAATTTAAAATTTTGACAAAAACGAAGTTTTTACTCCACTATCAACACAAATTTATAGGATTTAATGTATTTTTAGGGTATTTTAAACAAAATCCCAGTTTCTGGGATTTTGAATAAATATTTTTTGAATAAATATTTTTTGAAACTTTTACCCGGCAATTTTTCAAAAATCCCCACTATTGGAATTTTAAAAATCAATTTTTTCTCTTTACTTTTTATAAAATTGCAGAGTTTTAATTAATTTTAACAAATTTAAAATTTTCCCCCGTCATTTTTTTCAAAATCCCCACTGAGGGAATTTTTTAGAAACAAGTTTGGGAATTCAAATTTTTACAAAAACGAAGTTTTTACTCCACTATCAACACAAAATTATAGGATTTAATGTATTTTTAAGGTATTTTCAACTTCCCCAGTTTCTGGGATTTTTTGAAACTAAATGTGGGATTTGAAAAATTTGAAAAAAAAATCCAAAAAATGAAGCTCCCGTTGATCTACTCATCTTCTTATAACATAATTAGGGGAAAAACTTACCTTCAAGACAATGGACAAACTGCTGGCTGTTGCGGATTCTGAGAATACACTGTCATGGGACTGAGAGAGACCATCGCGGGAATAGTCACTGCAAGATAAAAACCGAAATGGGATTTTAAATATTTTTTACAAATTTTAATAGATTTCAAATCCCTAAAAATTTTTGAAAATTTCTACCCACCTATCAATCAAACGTCCTTCACTTAAACTCCTTTGACTGTCGGACATTTCACCACCACTGGCACTGCTATTTTTGGCAGCCAACGAGGTATGGCCTCCGCCACCACCTCCACCGGTGCCACTATCATTGCCACTACCGCTATCCAAATCCTGTGAAGAATCTCCCACACTGCGTAACTTTTGGCGTTCGGCAAAGAAATTCCTTTGCATGGCACCGGGGAAAACAGCCACGCCTATGGATTGTCTTGAAGGCTTACTCACCATACCTCCCGAGGAGGTGGTCGAAGACATCGACACATGATGCTGCTGATGATATGAAGCGGTCGTTTGGGCTGTTGTGGTACCAAACATGTTCTCGTCGTCTTCAATGCTCTCTGGGGGCTGCTGTTCTAAATCTTTGGATTGTTGTTGTTGCTGCTGCTGCTGCAGATGCTGCTTCTTATTTTTATGTTTCGATTTTCCTTTCGATTCGGCCGCATTTAAATTTGGATCATGACTTTTGTGTTTACCACCACCACCTCCGAGCAATGAAATATAGGAAGATTTCGATTTCGGCAACGACTGGGTCAAATAGGCGTCATGCAACTGTTGATGGGTCAACGGGGAGGAGGGTGATGAAGCCGAAGCTACCGAGGCAACGGACGAGAGGGTGGCACTGCGTAGATTTTTCTCACTGGTACTACTGGTGGCGGGTGGTGACGCTGAGGTCGGCGGTGTATCTGCGGATGATGATCCCGCCGCCGCTGTTGTGGGGGTTGCTGTGGTTGTTGTAATGGTACGTCGTCGAAAAATACGCCTCAGATTACGTAACGGATGAAATCGTCGACGTTTTTGTTGTTCTACAAAAGACCAAAAAAATTGCGAAAAATTTGGCATTATTTTGTGTTTCACTTCGAGACAGCCGTAAATGATTAACGAAATAATTTCATCACAGGGAGATTTGAACATTATTTTAAAGAAAATTTTGAAAATTAAAAATTTTGAAAAAAAAAATTAGATTTATAATCGAAAAAAACTAATTGAAAATAATTTAAATAATTTTGATAGTTCAATTTTGAAGTGTTGGAAAATTAAAAAAAAAAACAATAGAAAAATATTTTTTCTAGGATCCACACAAGGCTCCCTATATAAGGAGTGGATTTTTTTTTAATATTTTTTTCAAGGACCTATACAAGGCGTGTTTTTTTTAAGAATATTTAAATAAGGACCTATATATACAAGGCATGGACTTTTTAAACATGTTTTTTTCAGCACTCTATAGAAGGCGCGGATTTAGTAAACAAACTATGTTTTAATATTCAGAATTGTGTTTCAGCATTGCCAACCTTAATAACCTTTTCATCCTAAAAGTATGCATCAGTTTTGTCAGTTTTCATTAAATATTACGCTATAGCCTAGGATATAATTTAATTTATCAAATTTGTTTCTTAAATAGTTAAAAAAAAATTAAATTAATAAAGTACCCTTAGCGAATCCACAAATAACCCACTCTATGACTATTTAGCTCTATGGAATTCCCCATTGACCTAACCTCCTACGGATGGATATTATCCGTTAGCATTTAAATATATTTGCTTAATGTATTTCAGAATTCTGAAGCAGCAAGCCAAAAAAAATATTAAATAAAATGACGCTACTTAGTCCCCTGAGCGTGTGTTGACATCGTTTCGAGCTCTTTTATTTTTTGTTCATTTCGTGTGTGTGTGCGTACAAACAGATGCATACTTTTAGGTGCCCGGTGGCACCTATATTTAATAGGAGCAAATGTTTGCCAGGGGCATGATGGTAACGTTGTTGTTGTGTGCTAATATTTTTATACGACGACATCGTTGTGACAACACAAAAGGACATGAGATTAAGTTAATAATGACTATTTATTTGCCATGTGCCATGTCATATTAATATCCTGACAGGCGAACAAATTCTCATACAGGCACACACACACACATGTGTGGATGTGGATTTAAGGATATGTCAATGTGTGTGTGCTTAAATTTCAATTTCATTAGAATGAAATTAATACCATTCTTTTGCCATACTTGATATACGATATCAAGGATAAATATTTCATAGAGATCCTTTCAGAAAATATCGAGGAGTGGTTGTTTATAATTTCTTTTGTCTAATCATTTGTTTGCCGTATGGCGGATATATGGCACTGAAGTGGTTTTCAGATGGAGGATGAAAATAGTTGCTAGGAGTGTTCTCTTGCCACAAATTATTTTTCGCATTCTCTTTTTCTTTAAGTAGATTTTTCTGTGGTTCTGTGTAACGTAATGGTAATCGACAGCTGACACATGTGACATAAATTAATTTTCTTTCTTTCTTTGAGAACAGCTTGGCTTGTTTTGGTTAATGAGTTGAAGGTGTAAATGTTGTAACTATTCGGATGCCTCCCTTTGCCTTTTACTTAATGGTTTGTGTTACATTCTAATTGCTGGAAATTAGTACAGATTTCCATGTTAAATGAAGAAAACATTAAATGTGTGATGCATACTTTTAGGCACATGGGGGGAAAATAGAAGAAATAACATATCACTACATATGTAAGGTAAAAATAAAGAATTAAGGAGAAAATAAAGAATTAATGAAACATAAGGAGGATTTTTCCCAATCGTTTTCTTAAGAAATTCACCCCTTATATGGGTCGATTGAAAAAAGGGTTTTAAAACAGCACGTGTTAAATTGTCATTAAAAAATAGGTCAAAAAAATAAAAAAAAAAATCCCAATCTCTAAAAAAAATATTTTTCGATAAAATCACGCCTGCATCTTGCTAATCCAACTAATAAATTTGGTCTTCAGGTCGTATAGGTAATGACGTTACTTATACGCAATTCTGAAAGGGTTTTCTGACAAAAAAAATTGATTTCCACACCCGCTTTAAAAAATATGTTTCAAAAATCAACTTCTTCATGTGTCGTAGAAAAATATTTCTTAGCACATCTAATCCTGGATAGGCGGTTAAAAAATATTTAAAAAAAAAACTCGCCACTTTATATAGGTCTCTAAAATAAATTTGAACTAAAAAGGTTGCGTTTCCAAAGGTCTTGAAAAAATAATTTTTAATAAATCTACTGCCTAATCAGTTCAACAAAGTATTTTTTTTCTAAATCTGCACTTTCTAGGCCCTAGGAAAAAATAGTTTAATAAGTCCTTCAAAGAATTCAATTTAATAAATTCACGCCTTCATAAACCCTAAAAATGTTTTAAATAAATCCTCGCCAGTATAAGCCCTAAAAATAATCAGGAAAAAATATTTGCCAAATGAATCGACACTATAATAGTTCCTGAAAATACATATTTATTATTACTAAATACATGCCAAAAACACCCGATATTTCTTCAAATAAAAGAAGTTGATCTTCGCTGCGTATAAGTTGTGACGTTACTTATACGCACTTTGGTTAATTTAATTTATTAATGTATTTAGTCACTTTAATTTTTTGTTAACACTTACAAATATTTCCTTATTAAATAAATCCACGGCTTTATAAACCCAAAAAAAAGACATTTTCTTTAATAGCCCATGCCTCAAAAGATCACAAAAAATATTGTTGAATAAATCATCGATACCTCAAGATGCAGAAAATATATTTGTTTTATGAGTCCACAACCTAAATAGATCCTGAATTAATTTTACTAAAAAATATAGACTTTCAAATAATTTTTATGAAACCAAACCCTATGTAGGCATTTAAAATATTTTTTATATTTTAAACCAACTCTTTGATGGGTCCTTAAAAACATTTTTCATAAATTCAAGCCCAAAATACACGATATTTCATCAAATAAATCAATTTGGTATTACGGACGTATACGTAGTGTCGTTACTTATACGCACTTTGATTATTTTAACTTAATTATGTATTTCTTCAATTCTTGTGTCTGTTTTTCAGTTGAAAAATATAATTCTCAATACTTCAAAAGGGGATTTTTCATTTATGACAAATCTCTAATTATAATTACAATTTGTATTATTCTGTTCCCCAAGTAAAAATATTTAAAAATCCAATGCTTCATCTAAAACGACCTTCAACTCATAATTTTGCCATTTTCCATCATCATTAAACAGTTTTGTATGGAGTTTTTATTTCTCTTCATAATACGTTCATTTATTTAGAATAAATATCATGTACACAACATGTAAATAATTTACACTTTCACTTTTTGCAAGAACACATTACAATACCTCTCTTCTTCTCAGCTACCTCAGTGAGTTTTAAAAAAAAAATAATGGCCCACAAAAACTGTTCATTCATTCCGAAAAAAGAGAAAATAATTATGCCAGTGGGTGATTTACATGTTCTTTTTGAATATTCAACGAAAACAAAACAAAAAAATCTCCATCAAAAGGTTGACAGTTTCGCAGCTATTACTACCACATTAAATATTCTGACACTCTTTACTTGCTGTTGTCTTTGCAAAAAAAAAAAAATTGTTTTGTCATCATAATACCCATATTGAGTTTCCATAATAATAATAATGACGAAGACGACGACGTCGATGTCAACGATAATGAATTTGTCTCTAGACTGGAAAATGATGTCAACATACAATTTAATTGATGTATGTGTCTTCTGCTGGTAGGCGCTCATACGTATGTGAGGGTTAGGTGGTGATGGGTGCCTCATTAAAAGAGGGCTACAACCTATTTATAATATCATAATTTTGCTTGTGAATGAGGAAATGAAATGTAAAGTACAGATGACCTAAGAAGGTTTGGCAAAAAATAGAGAAATATTACTTATAAATATTTTTTCGAATACCAAAATGATTGGATTTTATTTTCAATATATCTCTTCCAACGTTTAGAAATAACTGTTTTTCTAAAGACCTTGATTTTTAAAACAAATTTTTTCGAAAGTTGGATTCCTTACGAAGACTTTTACAAGAGACTGGCAAATCATCAGCTCAACATTAAATTCTTTCCTATGAGGGCTCTCTTCGCGTATGAAGACTCTCCTTTTCAGTTTTTACAAAATGAAAGCCTTAATAAGTTCTGCAAAGTTTATTTTTATTAAATATACACCTAAAGTATCCGATATTTCATTAAATAAATAAATTTGCTCATCGGTGCGTATACGTAGTGACGTCACTTATACGTACTATGGTAAATATAATTTGTTGGAGTTTTTCTTTACACCTAGAGGGCATTTTACAATGGAAAAAATATGCTAAAGTCTGCTCTTTCAGCTCGCCCACTACGACTACCTTCAGATTATCTATTTCGGTAACTTGCAATCACATATGAAAGCTTAATTTACATTACCAATAAAAATGCCTTCCGACTCTGTTGCGACACCTTTTAAATCGTCCATAGATACTTATTTCCGGTCGACGCAAAAGGTTT